GCTCTGCCAGTTGTGATGCAATCAATCTGTTCAATGTGGGCACAAAGTGGTTCTGCACAGGAAGGAAGGAAGGAAGGAAGGAAGGAAGGAAGGAAGGAAGGAAGGAAGGAAGGAAGGAAGGAAGGAGTGTTTACTCTTCTTCCACTGCTTGGGGATATGAAGGCTATTTTCAGCGTTATACTTCCCATTCAGTGGGGTAAATCTGCATGTCACTCCTGTGAAAAAAAAGACTTTGGGCCTAACTATACAATCCTTTCAGTCCATAGCCTTCATGGATCACATAGCCCACCAGGGACCGAGTTGGCTCTGTCCATGCAGACAATACACTGAACTGAACCCATATCAGCATTTGGCACCTGACTGCGACAAAAGCCAATCCAAGCTTTCACTGTGTGGTATTGGCCAGCTTAGCCCATGATCAGCACAACCAAATATGGCTGGGAATTACTATGGGCTGCAATAGGCTGTTCCATCCATGTACTATCATTTCCAGGCTTTTCAAAACAGGAGTGTTTGACTCACATGAAGCAGGGCTATTTTTGGGCAGGAACACACAGGAACGGAGTTCCGGCTGGCTCCCAAGTTGGCCACGCCCAGCACGAACTCATTAGCATAGTAGGCCCCACCCAACAGCAGAAACTCATTAGGATTGGCTACATTAGGGGTGTGTGGTCTAACGTACAAAGGGTTCCTGCTACAAAAAAAGCCCTGGGTTTTGACAACAAACAAGGTAAACAGAATAAGAAGCAAAAGGTGGGCGTGGCTGGATGACCACAGTTCTGGTAACGTGGGGTGTGGCCTAACATGCTAATGAGCTGTGCTCTCGGGGTGTGGCCTAATATGCTAATGGATTTCTGCTGTTGGGTGTGGCCTATTATGCTAATGATTTCCTGCTGGGCTTTTTCTACAACACCTTAATTACAACAGGCAATTTAGAATGAACACATATACTTCTATGTTCTGTTTCCAGAATAGAAAATAGCGTCAAGCATGAAGTCCTATCCTCTGTTCTCCCTTTCCATCAATCCAAATGGCAGACAAAATGATAAATAGGCATTTTTTGTATTTCTTCTGTGTTGTGTTCTGCAAAAGATCGAGTTTATGGTCCTCTGCCATTCTGTCATGGAACTGGAAGATCCACATGCCCACTCAGGTGGCTGGCAGCAAGTTGTATGGTTGCCAGGAGGTCTCCTGCTATAGCTATAGTGGGGGACCTCCAGCTAATATTCCCACTGCTGCCTGAAGTTCAGATAGGAGGAAATGGAAAGGAAGAGAATCAGGGGGCACACCACCACTGCACCAGTGGACTGACATAACGTCTGGTGAAAACTGGAAGTGATGTCATGGGACACTCTAGGACTTGCCAAAAAACCCTCTATGGTTTTACCATAAAGTTTTTACAAATCCTCGACTGTCCCTTACATCACTTCCAAACTTCCCCGGAAGTGATGTCAGCATGCTGGTATGACCCCAACCTTTAAATTGTCCCTCGGGTTGCCAGCTTTGGCCTGGGAACCCTAGCAAGTCACCACTTCTGAGCTCCATTTCTCTAGCTATAGAATGGGAATAATAATGCCCTTGCCACGTGAGGCAGAAACAAATGAGAACTGGAAAGTGTTTTGCCCACTAGGAGTGCTCCACAAGATATACACAATGATTAGAAATCAACCTCTCTATGTCTTTATAGCCAGTCAGAACTGGCACTTAATAACTGCCGCTTCTTTAAGGAGAAAGCATGGGGCTTTGGATTATTTCCAATAGCAATTATAATTAAGTCCGTGGTGGGTTTCTGTAATGGCTCCCCATTCTTCCACGCTGTCTTGCTCCTTACACTCACACTTTTGTCATGCTCCTGAATTAATAAGCAACTTCTCAAAAGACAGACGAGAAAGAGGGAATCTCTCTCCCAATGTATATATCTCAATTTCCAATTATGGCTGGCAATTGCAAGTCATCCCTTAGCACCTGCAGCCTTCTTGGGGCTTGGAAGTTCTCTAAGGCAAAAAGCAGAAATACTTCTTGTGGGAAATGGAAGTCTCAAGTGTACAGTTTCATTACAGAAGTTTTGCATTATCACTGCCTTCTCAGTTTGGGTTCAGAGTATTCCAACATGGTACAACAGCCTGAGGTACGACTGCGCTTTCCTGAAAACTACCAACACTTCTTGTGAAGTATGACTGATGGCTTCCTTGCCATCACACCTGAATACAGGTGTCTGAGCAAATTAGAGTTTATTTCCTTCCCACAAACTGGGTTTCTAAACTGGGATTCAACCACAGTTTAGAATCCCAGTCTGTGGAGAGGAAGCAAACTTTCAAAGCTTCCCAAGCCATTCTTGGGGTGGAGGCAGGGGGAGAGAAGTAGCATTAAGAAGGGGGAAAAAATCCACCAAGTGCACATTTTGCTATCATTGCAGAACCTGGATGCTGTAATAATCATCGTAATATATAGCATTTATCAGGCATTCATCAGTATTCAATTACTGTTGTATTTGTTGGTACTCCTTTTATAATAACATAAGACTAGTGGTTCATCTAGTCCAGCAACCTGTTTCATACAGTGGCCAACCAGTTACCCTGGAGGGCCAACAAAAAGGAAATAGAAGCCAAGGCCATCCCCTGATGTTGCCTTGTGCCATTCCAAAGTCTGCTGCTTCTGAATATGGAGGTACCTCTCCCAGGCCGTTGGGGTGACCGAGCTGTGAAGTCACTGCCTGTATAGGCTTATAGTTGTACTGGATTTAAACTATTTTTACTTATGATGTGACTGATTAGTTCTCACTATACTGTATCTGACCAGGTCACTATAAACATTAGTCTCTTCAGGGTTTTTGGTATATAACTTACGGATGTATGAAGGACAACTGCCCAGTATAATTCTTTCACCAGTAAGTCAGGCACCAGTATTTGTAAAAGTCAAAGCCCAACAAGAGGATGGGATATATTTACATAGGATATTTTGTTTCCTTGTAGAATATAACTTTTTACTTTGCCTTCACATAGACTGTAGGCTTATCACTCTCAGTTTTACACAGATGTTCTTCAGTTCACTAAACACACTTATGATCCCTCTCTCCAGTAACTGTTTTGTGGCTAACCTTTGGACTTAATCTGTCTGGACCCTTTGAGTCTAACTGGGCACCTTTTCAGACTCCTCCAGACCCTTAGCCCTTTCTATAGCCACCTCTACAAGTTCCTTTGGAGCAATGTATCTGGTGTTTGTGACCACTGAGGTCACTCTCTGTTCACTCTCTGTTCATTCTCCTCTTTCCTTTAGAGGGTACCAGTGCAGAGTTTTATTCAGCCACAGTTCTCTACTCAAACTGATATCAGGCTATTTCCACAGAGCCACAGGGGTTTTTGTTCCACCTCAGAGCTATTCAGTTAGCTGACTGCGCTCGGCTAACTTCTCTTCCAACTCCTTTTTCCCAACTGTCAGCTCCCAACTGTCAGTTGTTCACCATTATCTGTCACTCTGAGAATTCCAAGCCAAAAGGCCCCCTCCCTTCTCAGTCATGTGACTCAGCAGCTTCTTTATTTACCTGCTGCTGTCCACTATCCTTTAATTCCATCACCAGAGGTTATTTAGTCTCCCTCTCACAAAACACTAGAATTTGAGGGCATCCAATGAAACTGATGGGTAGTAGGTTCAGGACAGGCAAAAGGAAATACTACTTTACACAGAGAGTGATTAAAATGTACAATGTACATCCAGAGGATGTAGTGATGGCCACAGGTATATACACCTTTAAAGGAGTGTTAGACAGATTCAATGGAGGAAAGGTCTATCAGTGGCTACTAGCTGTGGTGACTGAGGGGAACCTCCACATTCAGATGCACTAAGCCTCTAAATTCCAGAGCTGGGAGGCAACATCAGGGGAAGGCCTTGGCCTCTATGCCCTGTTGTTGACCATCCAGAGGAACTAGTTAGGCCACTGTGTGAAACAGGATGCTGGAATAGATGGACCATTGGTCTGATCCAGCAGGGCTTTTCTTATGTTCTTACTAGTAGCCATTGATGGACCTCTCTGCCATGAGTCCATCTATTCCTCCTTTAAAGCCATCTAAGCCCGTGGCCATCCCTATATCCACTGGTATTGAATCCCACAATTTAATTACTTGTTGAATAAATAAGTATTTCCTTTAGTCTGTCCTGAATTTATTGTCCATCAATGTCTGAGTGCTAATATTATGGGAGATGGAAAAAAAATTCTCTCTACCAATTTTGTCTACCTCATGCATTAAAGTATAAGCTTCTATCATTTCCGCCCTCAGTCGTATTTTTTCTGTACTGCAAAATCCCAACCTTACAGAAAAGGTGATCCAACCCACTAAGCATCCTGGTTGCCCTCTTCTGTACGTTTTCCAGCTCTGCAATGTCCTTTTTGAGGTATGATGACCAGAACTGCAACACTATTCCAAATGAGGTTACAACATACATCTATACAAGGGCAATATTAAAATACTCGGGAATTATTTACAGTTCCTTTCTTATAAATCCCCAGTAAGGAGTTTACCTTTTTCACTGCTATCATAAGAACATGAGAACATAAGAGATGCCAATGTTGGATCAGGCCAAAGGCCCATCCAGTCCAACACTCTGTGTCACACAGTGGCCAGAAATACCAGGTGCCATCAGGAGGTCCACCAGTGGGGCCAGGACATTAGACGCCCTCCCACTGTTGACCCCCCCCCCAGCACCAAGAAGACAGAGCATCACTTCTCCCCCAGAGCAGCAACAGCAGCACCAACTCATGTAACTAGCTCCTTAACTGTACACCCAGCAGTAAACCTAGGAAGAGTCTCCACCATGATGTGGTCCACAATTCCTTCAATATCAATTTATAGCAATGCAAAACTTCTGTCTGACTTCATATCTTGCAGACACATAACAAAGCAGAGCCAAGGAGCCTGGAGCTGGACCTTGCCAGCCAACACAGTGAAAACACAGCTGGCATAAGACCCACCACCACCACCAGTGTATATAGACAGAGTACTCACATCAAAGGCTTTTCCAATCGGCTTCCTGGAGATCCAACAATCTCGCCCAGTGTACAGAATGTTTGACCCAGGAAATCCTGATGAAGGAAATTAATATGATCATTATTAAGTAACCATTTTCCACTTTCAAAGACTCCCTGGAAACTGCAGGTGAGACATTATCAATGTGTCTCCATGACTATAGAAATTCTTTTTTTGGAAGACTTCTGTCCATTTAGTCCAAATTCCCTGAAACCAAAGATGTAATGTGAGGAGTAATGCAAATGGCTCAGAGGGGCTGTGGCTCGGTGGCAGAGAATCTGCTTTAAATCTATTGATTTTATCCTAGATATTTATTATCATATTATTAATGCTTCTCCTACTTGCTGATATGTTTACTGTTGCAAGGATTGTTTTTAGATTTCACCTGTTATTTGTAGAGATTTTTAAGTCATCTTGGGAACTATCTGTTGAATTAGGAAACAGTAATAGTAATGAAATGCCTAAAACTAAAGCACTGTAGAAAAAGAATACAAGGTAGATTTTACCCAGTGGACTTACAATTTACTTTTTTAAAAAACAGAAGAAGTAAAACTATACACTGGATCAGTAGAAGGCCCAAACCTGCTAGAATGAGCTGAAATAAATTAGTCTTGAGGTTTTTTTAAACAGAGAGAATCAATTAAACAAATATCAGCTGGTAAAGAGTTCCATTGCAAAGGGGCAATAACATAAGACGTGCTTCAAACAAAAAACAGGAGGAGAGAAGGGATATAACAAGCAACAAAGAACCAGAAGAGTACAAAACTAAAGGAGAAGAAATATAGAGAAATCAGAGATGAAAGTCCTGCAGATAATTAATAAATCTGAAGACAACTAGCAGAGCATCTTAAACAGGGTTGAACTGGTCTAAGCCCTTGAATCTTAAACAAAATGGGGGGCAGTTAGAGTAAAGTTAAATCAAAAGTGGATAAACTTGACCTTACTGGCATGCTGAAAAAATTAAGTGGGCAGCAGTAGAATGCAAAACAGTAACAGGAGTCTTAAGGTAGAAGCAGGAAAGATTGACTAAAAGAGTATTATGATAAGTCAACCAGACTAAAATAAGAAAACAGATCAAAGCATGGGCAAAATCAATAGGAAGAAAACAGTGAATATTAGCAGCATTTGACAATTGAAAATGGCTATGGAATATGAGAAGAAAAAAGGAGAAGTATCTAAAAGTATACTGGAAGTGAAGAGCAGCAAGAACACGCTTTTGGCTTACATGTTTTGAAAGGTCAGGGCTCTTGGAGTCCACATCATACCTAGAATGAAAGAAAAGTAGAAATCAGATTTTAGACATGTAGGGTCTTAGTATTTTCCCCATGCCACTATGACCAACCTATGTAGCATGTTAGAAGATGGCACTCTAGCCCCTGTACAACATCTACGAAGGAGACAGAGACTCAGATGGGAGAACAAACCTGCCATCATCCTATATGGGCATCTGCTGTTTACCTCTTGAGATCAGAGCAGTATTGGTCTACAGCCATTGCTTAAAGCAAGGATGGAGATAAGATTAGAACACAGAGATTAAGGAAACAACTGCAGTGATACTTGAAAGGAAACTTCATTTTTAGGCATACAGTACAAATTGTAATTAAAAAAGAACTCTGAGGTGTGGGATCTTACTTTGAACCCATGTTAGAACTCCAGCTCTGTTCCTTTACACAAGAAAAGAAGCACATGTTGAAATTTGCCCCATTTCTCAAAATGGATGACATTTGCCACTCAGTTGCAAAGTAAAATTCCAATTTACATCGTCAATGTGAAACATTAAACTCTCCATGTGAATACTTCAGGCTTCTAGTATGCCTTGATTGTTTTAACTTTTGTTGTTATTCAGTCACACAGTCGAGTCCGACTCTTCGCGACCCCATGGACCACATCACGCCAGGCTCTCCTGTCTTCCGTCGTGCTCCAGAGTTTGCTTAATTTCATGTTCATTGCCTCGATAACACTGTCTAACCATCTCATCCTTTGCTGTCTCCGTCTTCTTTGACCTTCACTCTTCTCCAGCACCATAATTCAAAAGAATCAAAAGGCGCTCAGCCTTCCTTATAGTCCAACTCTCGCAGCCATACAGTACTACTGGGAATACCATTGCTTTGATCATACGGACTTTTGTTGACAGGGTGATGTCTCTACTTTTTATTATGCTGACCTGGCTTCCCCACAGCAGGCACCCCTTGTATGCTGACAATTAGTCCTGTCGGGAGGAGAACGCTGTGAATTCAGGGCCTGTGTGGCCGGCAGGCCATCCCCTCCCCACCCAGTCCAGAACATGGGAGAGGACACGGTCCCGTGCAGTGCAGTGGGAGACGTCTGATACCTGGAGTGGGCGGTCAGGAAGGTCCTCCAGGAGAAGAAGAAGAGATTGGATTTATACCCCGCCCTTCACTTGGAGTCTCAGAGCGGCTTACAAAGTCCTTTCCCTTCCCCTCCCCACAACAGACACCCTGTGAGGTAGGGGGGGCTCGGAGAACTCTGACACAAACTGCTCTTTTTCAAGGACAGCTGTGCCAGAGCTTGTGACTGACCCAAGGTCACATCAGCAGGTGCAAGTGGAGGAGTGGGGAATCAAACCCAGTTCTCCCAGATTAGAGTCCGCACACTTAACCACTACACCAAACTGGCAGGATCTGGTGGGCAGGAGCTGGGTCTGGGTCACAGGAGGTCAGCAGCAGGCAGCTGAGGGCGTTGGCATGTCCCAATGACTTCCCGGAGTGGTGGTGAGGACTGTACTGGTAGCCTGCCAGGAAGATGGACCAGTGCAGCACCCAGGGAGACAGTATCTTTGGTGTTTGGCAGTCTGGAGCCAGCATGCTGAGCAGGAGTTTATGATCCGTCACGAAGGTGAAGGGCCACCTGTAGAATTAATCGTAGAATTTTTTCACGCCTACCACGGCCTCCTTGTCGATCTGCACGTAGTTGCGCTCGGCTGAGGACAAGTTGCGGGAGTAATAGGCCACAGGGACCTCTCGGCCGTTGGGTAGCTGGTGACCGAGGATGGCTCCAACTCCATAAGGGGATGCATCGCAGGCCAGGATGACTGGGAGTGCTTCGCCGAAGTGTGTGAGTACCTCGTTCAAGGTGAGCAGCTCTTTGACAGCATGGAACGCGGTGGCTTGCTTCTGGCCCCAGACCAAGGGAGCCCGTTTGTTGAGCAGCCAGCACAGTGGCTCTGCGATGGCGGGCCCATTTGTCAAGCAGCCGGTGCAGTGGCTCCTTGTGAGGCAGGAACAAGTGATAAAACTTCAGCAGGCCGAGGAAAGCCTGGAGTTCCTGCTTGGATGTGGGTGTCGGGGCACTGATGATGGCACGGACCTTGTCAGCAGCAGCATGGATGCCGTGTGCATCGATGGAGAAGCCCAGGAACTCGACCCATGGGACCCCCAGGAGGCACTTTTCCCTCTTAACTTTAAGGCCGGCATCATGGAACCTTTGCAGGATGGCACGCAGACAGATGGCAAAGTCCTCGTCAGTGGGGGCAGTGATTGAAACATCACTGAAAAATGGCTGGACCCCAGGAATCCCTTTAAGAAGAGAGTCCATAAGATTTTGGAAGATTCCCGGGGTGACACTGACCCTGAACAGCAGCCGCCGCACCTGGAATGCCCCCCCTGTGTGTCACGATCATCTGGGCCTCAGCAGTCTCATCATCGACCGGAAGCTGCTGGTAGGCCTGTGCCAAGTCCAGTTTTCCAAAAACCTTGGCACCCACTAGGGAAGCCAGGATATGGCTAACCAGCGGGACCAGGTATGCGTGGTCCTGGAACACCTTGTTAATCATGCACATATAGTCCACACAGATGCGGATGTCCCCGCTGGTCACAATAGGGGTTTCCCATGTGGCATGCAGAACTGGCTCCAATACCCCCTGGGCCACCAACCGATCCAGTTCACTGTCTATCATGGGCTTCGGGGCAAAGGGAACACATCTGGCCTTTAGTCTAATGGGCCGCACCTCCGGGTTGAGTTGCAGGGAGACCAGATGCCCAGTGTAGCAACCGAACGTCCCGTCAAATACACCCGGGAACTCATTGCACACTGTTTGGAAGTCCTTGGATGCCACATGGTGCACCCCCGTTACTTCAAGCCTAAGGGCGTGGACCATGATAGCCCCAGTAAACTCATGAGCCACCCTTCGACCACTAGCAAGTCCAAGAGTCCTTTGAAACGGTGGTATTTAATATGGTATTTGCCCCAGCCCTTGATGGCCACCTCGTTTTTCTGAAAGTCTCTGAGGGGGAAGCTGGCAGGCTTAAGGCAGGGCACCCCCTGTGGACAGAGCCTCCGGAGAGTCTCTTCCGAAATTATGGAGATAGAGGACCCTATGTCCAGTTCCATCTCACAAGACGCCTCCTCTATACACACAGTCACTTTTATCTTATGGGGGGTGTCCTGGGGCAAGTTCAGTATCTCATTCTGGTGGATGGCCAAGGTGTGAAGTTCTGTGGACTCCTGATGCGTCGTGGGGCGTCTTTGGGAGCCCTTGGAGCAGCAGGCGTGCACAATGCGGCTGGTCTTACCACAGTTGTGGCAGGTCATGTCGTGGAAGTGGCAGGAGCAATGCTCATGGTCATCTCCGCAGCTGGTGCAGGGAGGTGGCGTGGTCATCTTTGCTGGAAGCATGGGGGCTGTGGGCAGATGCTGGTCGTGGCAAGTCAGGAGGTGGATCTGATGGGTTTCCTCCTTGTCGGATAAATCCAAAGCTGAGGGGATGGAGGCTTGGTGTGCGCTGGAGTGTTGGCGATCCCTTGTAATGAGTACTGCCGAGGATGAGCTCCCAGCCCCAGCAGAAGTCCTAAGTCCTGCTGAGGATGAGCTCCCAATTATGGCAGAATCTACACCTGGCCCCAATGAAGCCGCAGAGGCGGCTCCGGCAACACCTGAGGTGGAACAATGCACATCAAACAGCCCCCCTGATTCGCCCCCACTGGTGGCCCGTTTGCGAGATCAGCGCCGGCGGGATTTGGCATCCTGATGGTGAGAGGTGCGCCTGCGCAGCAGGTGGTCTCTCAGCCCTGAGTTCTAAGAGGAGCCGGGACACACGCATTGGCCGGTAATTGATAACAGCCCGGAGGAATATTTAGCTCCTCACTCTTGGTCAATCTCTTGTGCCAGCAATTAGTCAGCCTGATGACGCTCTGCACCCACCTCGCCCATGTTCCTAATTCCTGTTTCCGGCTCTGAACTCTTGGCTCCTCGACTCCAGCTCTGACGACAATGCTCTTTGTTCGTGCCCTGGACTCTGGTGTTTTGGCTCCTGACCTCCTGGACTCTGGCTTGACGACTATGCTTACGGTTTGTCTCAACATTTTCAGTGAGTTATCTACTACGACTCCAAGATCTCTCTCATGGTCAGTCTCTGCCAGTTCGGACCCCATCAATGTGTATTTATAGTTAGGATTTTTTGCTCCAATGTGCATCACTTTGCACTTGGCCACATTGAACCCCATTTGCCACGTTGATGCCCACTCGCCCATCCTTAACAGATCCCTTTGGAGTGCCTCACAATCCTCCCTGGTTTTCACCACCCTGAACAATTTAGTGTCATCCGCAAATTTAGCCACTTCACTGCTTACTCCGAACTCCAAATCTTCAAGAAGATATCTGTCGAGTCCATCTCCAAAAAGGTTTATGCCCTTGAAGGGAACTGTTGTCTCTTTAGCCTGTGTTGCAGAGTCCCCATCCCAATTCTGAGCCACGTGTTCCTTCTGGCTGCTACACTGCATGCCATGGCTCTAGCTAACTGCTGCAGGATGTCCAATGTAGTATCTACCACAATCACTGTCACTAGGGCAATCTTCTTAAGTTCGTCTTTAAGTTCTTTTGGGACTTCACTATCAGCTGAGGCTAGTCCTGATGCCCAATAATGTACCGCCCTGGCAAACATCATGCCTGCTGTTGACGTCCTGATGGAGCAGGCTGAGACTTCGAAGTAAGGCTTGCTCAAAACACCTTTCGCTGGGGTCTTCGGCAGCCTAACTGCATCCATAGGTAGAACTGAATTGGAGGTCAAGCTAGTCCTGGGTTCGTCCACCATTGTCACCTTGAGTCTCTTGGTAGCCTCTCTTGGTAGCCTCTGTTATCAGGGAATAAAGCTTGGAAAAAACCCCATGATGGTTAGATTTTAGCTTGGAAGGGTGTTCCCTCTCTGCCTTCAACCTACTATAAAAGGCTGCAGGCAGTTAGAGGAGCAGAGGAGACTTGCCGCTGTCTGCCTCAGCATAGCAACCCTGGACTTCCTTGGTTGTCTCCAATCCAAGTACTAACCAGGACTGACCCTGCTTAACTTCTGATTCCACCAGACGTTCTGAGTCAAGATCATCGTTTTCCTTAGGTCTGGAGGAAATTCTAAATACTTGGAAAGTAATCTCATGTACAGCTCTTGAGGGAATAGCCAAGACTGTACTGTTGGTACTACTTCCTCTCCTTCCTCCGACCACTCCCATCCTGCCCTATCTGAGGATGGAACTGGGGAGTCTGAGTCCTTCCTGGACTTTTTGCAACCCAGTTATGGTAACCCCTTGGGGTTCAGTGCAGGAGATGTTCAGAGATGGTTTGCCTTGCCTGTCTCTGTGTCCCACCTCTGGTATTGTTTGGTGGTCTCCCATTCAAATACTGACCAGGGCCGGCTATGCTTACTTAATGAGCTCAGGCTATCCTGGGCTATCCTTGCTGCCAGTGTTCCCTCTAAGCTGAGTTAGTGTGAGCTAGCTCACAGTTTTTTAGCCTCCGGCTCACACATTTTTGTCTTAGCTCAGGAGGAATGGCCCCAGAGCAAACTAATTCATGCAATAGCCAAATCAGGCTTATGATCTGAATAGATCTGACTTGCTAAGTGTACCCCGCCCCCAAATCTGTTATAGCCCCTCTCTGGCAAACAGTGGAGGTGGTGGAAGTGCTATCAAGCAGCAGCCCCATATGCTTTTCAAGGCAAGGGACAGCCAGAGGTGGAGAGCCAACCAGGGCTGACCCTGCTTAACTTCCAAGATCCGATTAAAACGGACTAGTGTGGGCCATCCAGGCTAGGGCCACTGCTTTCGCCTGCCTCAGCGTAGTGACCCTGGACTTCCTTGGTGGTCTCCCATCCCAGTACTAACCAGGACTGACTCTGCTTAGCTTCTGAGATCTCAACAGATCAATCTAGCTTGGTCTACCCAGGTCTGGGCACAGGGAACTGGCAGGTCTGACTTGGCAGTCATTTTCTATTCACTTGCCTGGAAGTGAAAGCAAACGTAAGTCTACCATGAGAATCCAGGGAACCAAGATGGCCACCACCATTTTCCCCACCCTTCTATGGCCTTCCCTGGGCCTTTTAGCTCCCTATCTATTCCATGGGAACTTTCCCCCTGAGGGGGAAGAGTGGGGGGGGAAGGGCTCTTTAATCCACTCCAGCCTGTCCCAGGTTGGGGAGGGTGGAAGCTCCAGAAATCAATTTCCCCCTCTCCCTCCCTGAATAGCGGGGGGGGGGGGGTTGCTTGGGGTTTTTCCCCAGTCTACCACTCTGCCCTCCTTCGCCTCCAGTCTAGGTTTTGGCCCCTTAAGAGATTACCATGATTCTGGCAAGGGCTAGAGGTTCCTGGCTTGTCTGTTCCTCTGCATGCCGGGTCCTCTGAGACCGGGGAGACTGCCGGGTCTGCAGCGTTGCCCTGGTCTCCTTGCAGACTCAACCACTTCCCCTGATGTGCGTTGGTTGGGGAGGGGGCCTCCAGCCGCACGCTGGGCCCGGCGGGAGTCTACGTATACAGCCTTGGCTGCTGGGGATCTCCCAGTCCCATCGGCTTCCTTTGCAGTCTGCCGCCGACCACGACTTGAAATAATGAAGAGGGAGGGGCTCTCCCTTCTCCCTCTCTTCTTCTCATCCCTGGATCACTGCACTCTACAGAGCGCCTGTGAAACACGTCCTGCTCAAGCGGCAGGGCCAGTAAGACCGGGATGTTCCCGAGGACAGGCCCCTCCCCTTCCTGGACTGATCTGAGGAAACCGACCCTGTTCCAAAGGTGGAGCCTATTCCCAAGAGTAAGGACTGCCCCACTCCCAGGACCCCTGGAGAAAGGGGAACAACTGAACTGTGTTCACATCCCCACAGTCCTCATGCTGAGTTTTCGATGGCACTGACATACATATTCCTTGGCCTCTCTCTGTTATTTCCTTCCTTCAAGGAGTTCTGTGTTGCATACATGGTTCTTCCTTATCCTCACAACAATTCTGTGAGGTAGGTTAGGCTGAGAACATATGAGTAGCCTACAGTCACTCAGCAAGGTTTTTGGCAATGTGGGTAGTGAACGGTTCTCCCAGATCCTAGATCTACAATCTAGCCATTACAATACACTGATTCTTATGTCAATGATGAAACTGTTTCCTGACGGCAGAAAGTGCAGAAAGCACTAGGCTACATCATCACAGATCAGCTATCAATATGGTTAAAGACTAACCAGAATGTAGGCCTCAAATACTGAAATTAATTTTAATTTGGTACCAAATATAGGCATGAAGTTATCAGGATATTCATTCATTCTGAGAATATTCCAAGGACGTTTAATAGCAAAATTTGCAAAGGAGAATGGAGGAGAATTTTGAGAAGCAATAGAGCTATTTCACATTCATCAGGGATGCCAAGTCCCTTTGTGCAGAGGTCATTAAGAGAGCAAAAGTACACAGTAAGGGACCGTTATGGAACAATCAGTTTCAGAGCCAAACAACAGGAGAATCCCAAAACAGTACAGACAAAACCTGGATTGATAAAACAATACTGCTGAGATTAATTGGAATTATTGCTGTCCTTGGAGCTCTGAGGGGGGGAAAAAGATCAACTGCTGAATTTCAATGCATTTGCAAATCTCAGAGAGGGCAATATACACAGTCATTCTTTACACTGATATCCTCTTTCTCCTCCTCCACCCAATCTCTAGAATGTCCCAATTTATGTCACTCACAGATCAAAACGTAAATTTTGCTTCTCTTCAAAAAAATAATCGAGGATGAACTTGCGCACAAAGTCGGGGTTCAAGGTGTTGTCGATGACTTCAGTCCTGCCAAACTACAAAGGGAGGGAACAGCAGTCAGAAGAGGCCCAACATACTGGCACACCTTAAGGACTCTGACAAGGCTAGTTCTGGGATTCTTTAAATTATGTATAGGGTTAATCAACCTGTTCCATCCACTCTTTAGATAAGAGCACACATTCTGCTCTTGCCAGGTGATTGACTGGATAAAGGATGGATCATTAGCTTCAGTTTTTACAAACTTTTTAAGTAATGAAATTTTAAAACTATTTTAACAACACATTTGCAGTTGAAAAAATATAGATTTCAGTTATTGGGCATGCTTTTTCTAAATGCACAACAACTAATGTATTTATTACATTTTTATCCTATCCTTCCTCCAAGAAGCCTAGGATATTGTTTATGGTTCTCCCCATCTTCCATTTTATCCCTTAAAGAACTCTGTGAAGTAAATTAGACTAAGACAAAGCGAATGGCCCAAAGTCATGTGCAAGCAGTCCTAAATAGGGTTATACCCTTCTACATCCATGGAATTCAGGGGACTTACAAGGGTGTAACTATGCTTAGGATGGAAGTTCATTCAGGGGATATGCTCTGTCATTTGGAATAAACATAAGTACAGCTGCAAATGATGCACCTGGGGAGAAAATGCAACACATAGATAGTTGAAAGGTACTGGAGTGATTTGACCTTTCTCAAGACAGCAAAGGGAGTGAGGAAGAAAAAAGCGTTAACACAGAAGGAGGGCAAAACAATGAAAACAGGAAAGGGGAGGATGAATGATTCAGCCTAAAGACAGGAACCTACTGTATGTGAAACTGCCAATTTATTGTTTGCATCATAAGGACAGTAGCAAAGGCAGCTGCTTTTGCACAAACTAGCCTACAGAGAGTTCATAAAGGCGCTGTGATTAAGTCTCTAGGTGCATCAATTAAACAGATGTTAATTACATGTCATCAATCCACAAGGGGGCTGCAGAATAACTGGGTGGACTTGCAAAACCTTCCTGTCTGCCACCAATTAATACGTTTTAAGGGCTAAATTAATCCCATGGCACAACCATGGTGACCTTCTGTGTGTGTGTGTGTGTGTGTGTGTGTGTGTGTGAGAGAGAGAGAGAGAGAGAGAGAGAGAGAGAGAGAGAGGGAGGCAGGCAGGCACAAAGAGAGAATCACAAATGGCAATGAATTGTTTCTGCTGGAGGCACTTCCAAGGCTACAGAGAAGGGAATCCATGCTAGAAGGAAAGCCAACTCTCTGGAATGATAGAGGAAATATCTGTAATTCAGTGAGGTGTAGCGCTCCTGATAAGCTGGGGGGTGGGGGGAATACAGAAAGGGAACCTTATCATCTTTGTATTAATGCCTAGAGTGTTCAGTTACCTGCTAGCTACTAGCCTTGTGCGATGGAACATATTTCTGAAGTTAAGAAAGGTTGACCTGAATTGCCCTTTAGTATGTGCTTGCAAAGGCAGAGTCTGGGGATTTTGTATTCACCAGTACTTGGATATCCTCCAGTTCTACTAGGGAAAGCAAAACCTGTATAGCAAGGAAATGAATTTCTCAATACTTTGCGTCCTTAGGAGAACAATGAAAGTATCATTGGCCCAAGAGTGGCATCCATTGGAGTGGCTGAGAAGATGTAAACAGAGAATCAGCAAGGCTCTGGGAGGATTCTGACAATCAGCAGGAGGCATCTGGAAACTGCTTCAAAGCTAACAGCATGAGACCTTCACTACAAATGTGTGTTGAGTGTGTGTGTTATCCACAGCCTCTGACTATGAAGTCCAGTATTCTCAATCTACTATATCCACCTGAATTTTTTGTTGTTGGTCTGCTTTTAAAGTTACTACAGTGTTTGACTTCATCCACATAGTGATGATTTTCTGTGTTCCTTCCATCAATGCTGTGAATGTAGAGGCACTGACAGTGGTGACAGAGGGTCCACACAGTAGTTGTGTCTACACTTTCCATGCCACACCCCTCTGATTGTTCTCAAAAAAACTGCACCAAACCAGGGTTGGGGAAAATTTCAGCAAAGTGGATAAACACTCAGAAAGTGGACAGTTTGGGATGACATTGTGTAGATACTTCAAAAAACTCTGTTCCTGTTTATACAAAATTGGAGCAAAACCATCACGAGGAAGCAGCTTTTATGTGGAAAAGTGAGAAAAGGTTCATCTTTTAAAGACATAAAAGTCCAAGTCTGTACAAATCTTTAAAGCAATACAAATCACCTGTGTACAATGTCTTTTGGCATTACAGTCCAATAGGTGCCCATGACAGTCACAGAGCCAGCTTACAAGCTCTGGTAGAACCTGTGCAAGGGGTGGGGAATAATTGGGTTTCACTCACTGACTGTCTGATAAAACTGGTTTTCCCAAGGCTCAACTTGAAGGGAAGATGTCCTTATCCTACACCACCAAATAATTACAAGGCCACAATAATAAAAAGAAACTTTGCTTTAAAAAGTTCTCTTGCACTTCTTAAGAATATTGATGATAAAATCTCTGAACAGCATCTGTTCCAGGGACTGCTCTTTGAGTTGGTGCCCAAAAGAAGATAGAGCTCCTTCAGTCAACATTTGTGTACCTGATGGTGAGAGTATAGCCCCTTCCTCTTCATAGTGCTGACACTGTAAGAGACATTCCAGTCCCAAATAGCATTCCCCTATCATGTTCCTCAAGCACATTCTGCCTCTGCTCCCTGACACACAGTGTGCCTCCAGATGCCCCATGAGCAAGGGTCTCTTTTTTCTCTCGTGAGCATCCAAAGAACAATAGGGAGGAAGGGTATGCTCTGTGTTAGATTCTGCTGAGAGATATCTTGTAAGATATATTGTGAACCTTTGTGTACCTTTTAGCAAGTGTAATCCTGTCACTTACCTGGGAAAAATATCACACACCTCTTGACTAGGGGTGGTGGTGTTTGTATTGGTTTGCTTCAAGCAATGTGGACTCAGGTGCCTTCCCAGCATCTGTATGGCTAATGCAATGTGAAGGAATAGCATGAAATGAGTGTTCTTAAGAGTGCCAAGAGACACAAACAAGGATTGTGATAGTGTGTAAAAGCTTCAGAAGATGCTTTAGAGGGAATTAAGTCTTTTAGGTTTCAGATGCCTCTGTACTAGGGAGCTCAAAATGACTGGAGGAATTAATTCAACACTTCTCTACCCCGTCATGTGTCTCCCAAAAGTTCAGGGAAGTGTAATCTCATTTTATCCTCTGTGAGAAGCTTTGCCCAAGGCCACTTAGTGAATGGCCCCATTCCCTTTTCAGGCACAAGAAGGCTAAGCTTTGCCCAAGGCCACTTAGTGAATGAATGACTTCAGGCCCCATTCCCTTTTCAGGCACAAGAAGTTGCAACTTCAAACAAACCTGTTCAAACAGCAGACAGACTCCAAGTAATGCTTATGGTACCACATGTTTCAGGTAACAAAGCAATGTAGTCAAAATGGCCTCCCCGTTGACAGCTCACTTCTTTCCCCATAAACTTTAAGAATTGTTACCTGTCCTGTTGGTCCCATGTGTATCTCCCCACCTCTATCATGGGCTGCAGCTGATGAAAAACTGCAAAGCATTAAGGTATGGTACAACATGATGGTACTGTTTCCTGCCTGTTATACAGGACAAAACGTGGCCTGGAGTTTCTCCTCTTGGTGTCTCCCCATGTCCACCATCCCACAATATGTAGTTCTGTCCTGGGCTTAAACCACCTTGAGAACCTCTGGTGAGCCAAAAGAAGGGATTTAAGTTTTGATGGCTGCAACAAACCTCAATCTCTTCAGTCCTGGTCTAGCAATGTGACTGTTTTGCTGCCAAATAAAGTAGAGAGCCAATGTGATTGTTAGACTAGGATCTGGGAGAACTAGACTGGAATCCCGCTCTCTGGCACGGAGGTTTGCTGGGTGACCTTCCGCCAGTCACACGCCCTCAACCATGTTGTTGTGAGGACAAAATGGAGGACAGGGGAATTATGAGTGCCACCTTGGGACTCCACTGCGTAGAAAGGGAGGTTATAAATTAAGCAAATAAAACAAAATAAATCTTGGGTCTCCCTCAGTATCTGCTTGCCAGCAGAGGCAACTCTTCAGGCATGAAAGATGCCTACGAATACTGTCTTGAGAGCCAGGGGACTATTCCTTTAAGTACCCCACTCTGCAGATGAGGATGTAGCCCAAGAGAAGAAAGTAAGGCATAAGTAAAGCAGAGAGGATGAAGGGGTACCACTGTCTCTGAGCCTTTGTCTGGACAATCTGTTCGCTCCCCTATGTCTTACCTGGGGTGCAGAACTTGTGCTCCCAACTTGTGCAGCTTCAGCTCCTACTGCTGGACCCAGCCTGTGTCACCCACTTCAGAGGTTACCATGCCTAGGGTTGATAACTGGACTGGTGAACAACATCCTGTCTCTTTAATAGAGGCTTAATAGGATGTTATTAACAAGGTAGGATGTGGAATGGTATAACATAGCCTGATCCTGTCAGATCTTGAAAGTTTATTTATTTATTTGATTCATATCCCGCCCTCCTCGCCAAGGCAGGCTCAGGGCAGCTTACATAAAAATTGACAAGTAAAACAATTATAAATATAGCTCTAAAAACAAGACTTAAAGTGCTAGTATCAGTTTATACGGCGATGGCGAGGTAGTGATAGCAGAAGACATATGAAAAGTACGCAGACGGAGAGTGATTTCAGCAAAGCGTACTTTATTCGATCAGGAACAAGATGACTTTGGCCGGCTCGCAGCCGGCTTATATTCCCCGAGAAACCGACACCCAAAACACACACCCACTTCCCAATAGGTTATTTACAGTGGCCGAGAGTCCCATAGGCTCTCGGCCGGGAACCTAGCCCCCTAATTGGAGTGGGCTAGGATCCGCATAGTCCATTGTCTCTTGGAGCAAAGCTCGACGTTTGTGCCTGACCGCATGGAGCCCAAGCAGGCCCCGCGGTCTGGACTGGATACATTACAACATACTAAAAAATACAGTCAGAGGTTGTTATTACACTTTGGCAAAGCGTAGGCTATTGATGGTGG